CTGGATCCAATTCAACATCTAAATTTAAGTTTCTTTGCCTTATGTATAAAAGATCAGATAGTAATTCAAATTTATTATGAAATTGATTTAAGTACTCTTTATTATTTTCATATTGATTAACCTTTATTTGCATTTCTTTTATTTTATTAATTAGGCAATCAAAATCATTTCTAGATAACAATACTGCATCATCTTGAACATCAACATCTATATTTGACCAATTGTCTAGGTTTATTTGATTATCATTAATTAAGTTTCCTAACAATTCAGATAATTTGAATTCAGTGTTATTAGTATCAACATCTTCTATAATGTCATCAATTTCAATAATATTATTATCATCTTCAAAATCTTGTGACTTTCTTTTTTGATTATTTGATTTATTTCTACTTGATTGTACAATTGATAAGTAATGTTTAGGACAAAGTTGATCATTAATTTCAAGGTAATTATAATCCTCATATGTGCCATGATTTTTAGCATTTTTTAAACCATCTTTGGTGAATCTTCTAAATTTAACATCTTTTGCTTCACAATTTAAAACATTGCATGGGCCTAAATTTTTAGTAGTCATTTTATTGGTTATAAAAATATTATTTAAGAAAAATGGGGATTTAAAATTGTTTTTTTGTTTATTATTTTTTAAATAAATTTTTATAAATAAATTTTTATAAATTTTAAGATGTTATATGTTAATATTATTCATATTATTCAGGAATAAATTTTTAATCGGCCGCGTTTTTTTATTTTTAGAATTTGTGTAATAATCGTCAAACCAATCAAAATTATATTTTATGTGATACAGTCATACCTCTTTTATATTCCCCCTTATTTATATCCCAACCTTGATTAAATCCCACAAATGTGCCATGACGGATTTCCCTATATTATTTAATATAAGCTTTACCTCATTTATATTCCATCAAGTTATATCACTATCCCCAGTTTTCTGGCATTGTTATATCCCCATTTTAACCTTATTTGTACATGATATACATGTGTAACTTACAATTTATATACATAAAATTAATATATTTTCTTTTTTGACAGTTTTTTTTGGTAGCAACTTGGTTGATTTCTTTAGCAACAAAGAATTAATTATTAACTATTGTTTTCTTGGTGGTAATTTTTGCATTCCTTCAATGAAGAAGGTATTTTTAGGTAGCAATTTGGTTTATTCCTTTAACAAAGAATAATTATCAATTATTGTTTTTTTTTGTGGTAACTGGTTATTCCTTTAATGATAAAGAACTAATTGTCAAATTATTCTTTTTTTAGGTGGTATTTTTAACAAAGGAATTGATTATCAATTATTCTTCTTACTTGCTGGTGTTTTTTTAAAAAAATTAGTTGATTCTTTCAAAAACAAAAGAAATTAGTTATCAATTATTCTGATTGTTTTGATGGTGACTTGTTTCTTAAAAATAAAAATAAATTTACTTTTGCAGTTTTAGCAAAGTATCTTCTTTATATATATAAAAAAATTTTGTTTTGGCTTAGGGATAATATGTGTAATGGTTAAAATCATTACAGACAATATTTTTTCATCTTTGTTTTATTTTAATATTTATTATTATTGATTCAGGTGTTATAAAAACTGAATTACCTACTGATGAAGTTATTGTTGAAGACATTCTCATTTCAGAAGGTGTTCATGTTGAAGAGGGAAGATGTGAGTGAAGAGAGCAAGGAAGGACCAGTCATATCTGTAGAAGAAGGAAGGAAAGTACTTGAAAATGCTAAAAAATCCTTGGAACAAGAATTTGCTACAGAAAAAGATGTTAAGTATGTTAAAGAGTTAATAAAATGTTAAATAATATTGAAGATAAGGCAAAATGTCAGTCTTTGTTGACAGAATTTTGTTAATTTTATTGTTATATTAAATAAAATTTTTTAAATTTTATAACAAGAATAATAATTAATGTCACAAGAAAAAATATTAGATCTTAATGAATTCATACAAAATCCAAACGATTGCTCAGAATTATTTAAAATTTGGGATTCTCAAAGATCTGTAAGTAATTCATCATTCATTATTTAGTTCTTGAATTCTAAACAATAATGCAAAAAATAATTACCAAGTGAATATTAATTGTAATATAGAATAATAATAATTTGACAAAACTTGAAGTGACAATACCAAATTCCTTTGCAAATATTATTCAACATACAACAAAGAATCCTTCATTAAAATCTATCGGAACCATTATAATTCGTAGAATTATCAGGAATTATATGAAAACAATTGATCGAAATTTAAGTTCTGATCGATTACCATTATGTCAATCAACATTGAGACTATTGATAATGATGAACTCACACGATATTTCAACCACAAGAGAATTACAAGAAACATTCCATTTTAACTTAAAGGTAATAATAATAAATATTATTTTGGGGGGAAGGTTAAATACTTGATATAAACTCTTTTTTTTGTTTGTAAAGGTATTTTCAAAATTAGTAAATATTAGAAGAAAAGATTCCCAAAATATTTCACGACAGATCAGTTTAACAGTCGATTTTTCAATTCATGATAAATAATTTTCAAACTCTTGAAAGAAAAATTATAATAATATATATATATTTTTTAAAGATATTCGTATATTATATATTCGATTTGTCTTGTCATTTTTCATTCACGGTGATGCAAAAATTAAATCAAATATTTTAGAAACTAAGAATTTTGCAAATTTAATATTTAAAGGCTTATCTCAAGATAATTATGAGGTATGATTTTTTTATTTCTAAATAAATATTATAAATTCTAGAAATTATAATTAATTTCTTTTCCTTATTCTACTTTCAGTTTGTAGAAGAAATTTTTCAAACTTTTTATAATTATATAATTTTAGATAATAAAATTGGTATAAAATCAAAACTCGCATTTTTCAATAGAGGATTATTAAACCAAGTATTAAATCTCATCATCATCATCATCATCATCATTAAATCTGAAAAAATTTAAAAATTAAACAATAATAGCTTTTAAATCTTTATTCTAGATCTGAAACAGATTTACCAGAATCAAATAAATTTATTACAGACCTAGTACACAAATTTCTATTATCAATCTGTTGTACACCAGGTGTTGGTATTTGTTTTCAAGATGAAGGATGGTATCCTTATGGTGAAGTAGATAATAATGATTCTTTTGATCTGAAAAATCAATT